GGGGGTGGAGGGTGGTGGTGGTGGGGGGCCCCATCCACCCACCCCCCGGCCCTGGACAACCCCTGGGGCAACATTACAGTCACTTTCCCCTCCTCCAGGTCAGGAGTTGTCAGAATTTTGAGGTGGACGAGCTAATACTGTCCAGCCATAAACATATTTTTACAAACAAATGAAAACACCATTATCTGAATAATAGCCTTTATTTATCTTCTTTTCAATTTCACTTCCGAGCCATATGTGCGCACCGAAAGAGCACTCGCGCACGCCACTTGGGAGGACGAAGTTGAGCCCAGCCCCGGGGCCCCAGACTTCCCGGGTCAGGTGTGTACTCAGCTTGGTCTGTGGGGGAGGCACAGTTGGAGCTGGACACGAGACTGGAAAGGGGAGAGAAGCTGTGGAACCAAATCCTTGGTTACTGGCCTGTCTCAGCACTTCCGGGCTTGGTGCTCCGAGCCCTGTGTGTATTTCCAGGTCCCTGCACCTCAGAGTCAGTCTTTCTGTGTCAAATGTCCGACTCTTCGCTTCTGCTGCTCACTTGTGTGTCCCAGGTGCTGAAGTAGATCATGTGACTCCAGGTGTCTACCTCTCTGGCCTCCTTGGCTTTCTGTGCCCCCCTACTATCTCTCGTGTTTGTCTCCATGTCCTTCCTTGTCCTTGCCAGGTGGGGGAAGGGGGCCAGTGCTCAGGGAGCAGGTGTTGGCTCACTCAGGCAGCAGGGAGTGAAGCCAAGGAGGGCATAGAGCCAGCAGCCCTTGGACACACAGCCACACTCCAGGACACACTGGGCACTCCCAGTAAGGCAGTGGCATATGTAGGTAGACAGACTCCCGAGGCCATTCTCAGAGATAGACATACAGGTACACAATCAACACACAACCAGAAACACAAGGTCAGACATGACCTTCCAGACACAGGGTCACATGCGACACCCAGGTATCACACACAGACATGCTCCAGCCAAACACTGACAAATAGCCAGGCAGGCCCACAGAATCACCCAGGGTCATAGATACACCTTCCGGCACTAGCGCACACGGTCACACACCTGCACACAGACACACAAAGGCTTAGGTAGACCCGGCTACATTATGGCAACCGCAGAAACGGGACTGAAGGATCCCGAGGCAAATGAGCACAGCCCCTCAAGGGCTGTCAGACACCGGCACACAGTGAGACACAGGACACACCCAGGCAAAGGCAGAAGAACATTCTCGGGACGCACACCCCGCTGGAGCTCAGTCACGAGCACCTGGGGACACGCCCACAGGTGGGGTGGGGGGGCCCAGCGCACCTGGCGCCCACGGCGCACCCCGGGGTGTCCCCTCAGCCCCTGAGTATGTGCGTGCCTGTGCGTGCGTGCGTGCCCGCCCGC